ACCTGAGTCCCTTCAAGAAAATAAAGAAGACAGTGGCTAGGGCTGAAAGTTTGAGGTGGGGAGACCATTTAAGTAAAAATGTAAAAGCTGAGTTGTGAGGAAGGTTCAATATCCAAATACATGTTAATCTACTGGTGAGCTTTCCTCACACATATTAAAAAATTCTTTGTATTTGCCCAGAGGAAGTGGGTCACTAGTTTAGTGGTCAAGCCCCCACATGACAATGGTTTGTTAGATGGTTCATCCTTGTCTAATATTCTTGGACAATGAGTAAGCACAGTCCAAAGTTGTTTCTAAATTTTTTATTTACCCCTCAGGGGCTCAGCTATGATCTCTCCCTAACAGCAGAACAAGGGTCTGCAGACCTAGAATGTTAGGGGGCCAGCAGGTGGCATGGTGGTGACTGGATCCTACATGGCTGACTGTGAGGTTCAATATCTGGACCTGGTGGCTTGGAAAACATGCCTGGCACATGTATATGTGTGACCCAAATCCCAAGGAGAATGAAGGAGGAGGGATTGCGGTGTGGCCATCTTCCTACGGGGAGTGAGGGGGTGCGTTCTCACTCTCTCTTTCTCCCTCTCTGTGTGTCTCTGCTGAGCGTATGCACCCTCTGGCAGATTTTTCAAAAGAAATGTCCACAAAGCTGGGTTGTTACAAACGGTACCCACGGCCTTTGTTTCCAAATGATGCTATGATGCACACTGCCCTGGTCCCTGTGCGGAATGCCAGGTGGGAGTCCCGGGGCCTGGCCATGTCCCTGAAAGTGGGATGTCACAGAAGTGGGCTCTTCCTGCTGGGGGTGGGGGAGGTTTGGGGAGAAAAGTCTCTCACCTCTTAGAAGATGAGGGATTTTGGAGTCTATAGAGCAGGTACCCCACTGACCCAGTCTAAAGTAACAATTTTCGTGACCAGTATCTGCTATCCTCAAACCTGCTTTTTACTTATGAAACCACATGCTGAACTCCAGTCCCCGTGGCACCAAAATAAGAATGTCTGACTGCTTAGGACCCTCCTTTGTGGATTATTGCTGGGACCTTCCCCAGCTTGGT